TACCAGGGGACACACACACACTCACACACATCCACAGCCTTGTGTTTTCCTCGCCTGACGCCAAGACCAGTGACAAGGCAGCTGACCTTTCCACGCAGCCGGCTGGGAAATGGGTAACGCTGCGGTCATGTTTACTGACACTGAATTAAGTCACCACTATCCCTGCATCCACTGCACTTCATTGTTCACAGGGAGACGTCGTCCAGTGGCCCTGTTTAACACTGTCGGGCTGTTGTTGTTGTGTAAAAGGGCAAGTCTGCTTTTGCCTTATTAATCAATATACTGTATATCCAGGGTTTATTTTCAGGAGCTGCTTAACACGTGTACACAGACAGTCATGAATGCTTAACAGCTGTCTGGGACGAGGTTTATTACTTTCTCCCGCAGCCTTAAACAGACAGGCAGGGGATGTGTCAGATGAACATGAATATATAGATGAGTCTATAGGCCTCCATTTACAGGGTTTGTCTTCAGCTGCAGCGCCTCACTGTCTATCGTCAATGTTGGCAGAACACAGATATCATTTAGTATTCGTCCCAAAACATATGCTCGAAAATAACATTTTAAATGAAGCATCATGGGATTTCACTTGCTAATATCTGCATCGGTGTCGCTTTGTTTGACACTAACACTTCTGGCCTCCTCCGGTGGCCGTCATCAGTTTGTTCAGTTGTCATGGAGATGGTTCAGTTGTTATGACATGAGCTAAGTATGGGATTTCAGTCACATGATAACAGGAGGTCACTTATGGAGGGGAGATCATCACCAATGTTTCTTCTCAAGGGTGGTCGACTGTATCATCTCCATGACAACTGAATTCCTCCTCTGATGTGGGTAGACGTAAGGCTAGCAATTTTCCAATAAGCAGAACTCAGTTTAAAGGTAAATAAAAATTACGACTGATTTAATCATTTAAAAACTTATTTCGGATCCAAAATGAATGTTTTGTTTACCCCGAGGTGGCTACTTTTCTTCCTAACCTGTAAGCTCAGCTAGCTAGCTAGCTAACGTTAACCTTAGCTAGTTAGCACTGTTGCTGCCGTTACACAGGTTAACGTGGATTTATACTTTAGACCCTACGCTTTATCCCACAAATGTAGTCAACGCCGTTGTGAGCATTTATACTGCGGAAATGTGTCTGTCACTCTTCAGTTACACCTCCAAAACACTAGTTGATGGCGGGGTTTCTGTGAAGTGCCGTAAAGTTTAGTTGATTCAAAACACACATTAAACATGCATTAAACATGGCTTAATAGAGACACTTTCAAACACAAGTACACAAATCAGCTTCACTATAACTCGCAGCATTCACAGACAAACACTTGTCTTTATCTGGACACATTTTCCCCACAAATGCAACATGCTAACGTTATTAGCACAAACCTATGGCATTTTACATTGTATAAATTAGCCTAGCGACGAGCAGATTTCCTCTGCTCATATGAAGCCAGGATAAATTACACACAAGACTTAAAATGCTATTTTGTGGAGGCTTTATGGCCTTCACAATTTATTGTTTCTTATATGTGAAATTAAAGTAAATAAAAGCTTCTTTTCACTGAGGGAAATGGTTTCAGCTTACAGAAATAGAAAGGAGGTCTGCGTACGGCCTAGGCTACCGCGTAGAGGCAGCTGGGCAGTTCAACATTTGCCCAGTTAGCACGAGCTAACACAGCAGCAGCGGCTAATATCTGACACAAAGACATTCAACAGTCCCAACAAACTAAACCAACAGCAAAACGGCTAAACTTTGTTGTTCAACTCGTTAATAACCATTACGTAGCATTAGCCAAATGACGCAACCAGTTAGCCCTGTTATTGTGTATGCGGGGTGCGTTGACTCTTACTAATTGTTTGAGTTTTTTTGTATGGGACTCAATGAACCTACAGCCTGCAGCCAGTTAGCTTGTAGCTTAGCATAAAGCCTGGGAACATGGGGAAACAGCAAACCTGACTTTGTCCAAAGGTAACAAAAGGTTATCAAAAACGTCATACCTTGTTTAATTCATGAAAAAACTGAAGTGTAAAAACACCAATCACCCATTTTACAGGTTGTTTTGTGCCTGAATATTTCATGGCCAGGACCAGTAACTTCCTGCACTTTCCCAAAATATTAATTTAAATCATAGTTTGTGTTTGGAGCTTTTTTTAAACTGTCCAATGCAGGGAAAGAAGTAAAAGGCTTTAAGCACAGCCATCACTATATCTATGCAGGATTGTAAAAACAGATACCATCCACTCCAGTTACTACAGATACCTTGAGTATTGCTTGACTTGAGTCTACGGTCACTTTCAATCATAGTGTCTGTGTTACTGACAGAGATTGAGGTCGTCTCTGAGTGGATGAAAGCAAGTGGTTTCCATAGTGAAAGCAGAACTTCAAAGACTATTAAAGGAAGCAATCCACATGTAAAAACCCAACACTATCAGAGTGAAACTTTAGCTTACGAACATATCAGCATCATTCAGATATCTGTGATATTACCTGATTCAGTCAGGTGCATTAAGCTGAATATATGCTGGCAGAAATTTCAAGTTTTCAATATGCAGGACTAAAACTACATGTGACAGGTTTTAACTGGAACCACAGGTTACACACTGCACACGCACACCTATATATTTACACTTGTAAGGGTTATGTCAATACTCAGTTGTGTGCATATGTACATTTACACACTGACACTGTGTGTTTTGTCTGGCATGATGTTTTTACCTTGGAGCGTTTAGGTGCTTAAACCCAAATTCTTACGACATAGCTTCAGCTAGATGCCTTTTGAATATATATGTTACATCTATGTAACAGTGTTTATTGGTGTTGTCACTTTTAAATAATAAGATATATAAAATAAAAGAAATAGCACTAGTCTGGGCCTTCAGGTTAGGACAGCTGTCAAAAGCCTGTTAAATGGATCAATATTGCGAGGTGAAAACAGATGCAAATGGATGGAAATCCTCCTCTCGTCAGGGGGGGTCACCTGTGGGATTCTGGCAACGATCAGCAAAACACCTGTGCAAGTAGCCTCACTGAATATATAAAACTGCGGCTGAGACACTGACAAAGATACAAAACTTGAATAGGTTACGAATGGATCCACTGGTCATAGATACTGTATGGATATACATTTAAACAATCATGTGTACATGTACATAAACACATGGACACAGTTGATTTTCCTTAACCGCTTATCCTGTTAGGGGTCACAGGGGGGTCTAGAGTCGATCCTATTTTGGGAGAAAAGCACCCTGGACAGGTCACCAGACTATCACAGGGCTGACACATAGAGACAGACAACCATTCACACTCACATTCACACCTACGGACAATTTAGAGTCACCAGTTAACCTGCATGTCTTTGGACTGTGGGAGGAAGCTGGAGTACCTGGAGGAAACCCACGTTGACAAACTCCATACGTACGGGCCCCCAAAACCTGGGTTCGAATTAATTTTCGTGTCTAAAATGTCATCTTGTGTTATTGGGAGCCAGAATAGAAGTAGTCATGGCTCAAAACTTAAACTTTATTAGCTAACGTTAGCTTCGATAGCAAAACAAAATGGAGGAAAGATTGGCTTCCTGTGACATCATCCATCCACTGAGTGAGAGCATACAAGTCGGCCAGTCTGGTCCTGTTGGTCAGTGTTTACTTTTTCACGTAAGACTTGCGGCCCTGGAGAGTGAGTGACCTGACATGGTGCGTTCGTAAATTCAGTTGGACGCTCTACGCTAAAATGAGAGCCCTGTTGGTCGAAGAAACGGAGAGTTATATTTCTACATGAATCACACATTTACTCCGCTCCGCATTCTGCTGCTCCGTCTCCCTAGACAGAGTGCAGAGAGTGCGCTCTGCCACTTTAAGAGTGCGGTGCTCTGGATAACCTAACAGCACTTCCTACAGCGCTTCGACTTTGCGAACGCTCCAGAGTGCGCTCCAACATTTTGAAAGAGCATTTCTGAACGCACCACTCGCATCATCTTCCTCCATTGTCTAAAACGAGCCAACAGAACTTGCTAGCTAGCCCTAGCTAACGTCTGTGGAGGATTGTTTTGCCTCCAGCTAAGCCCCGCCCACTGAAAAGCATCACACTGTCTACTAACAGTGAAAAGGTCTAGTCTATAAATACTGTGAAAGCATCAAAACACTTTGTCTACAGAGAAATGCACAGAGTTCGCATTCATTAATGATGCCTTTCTGTGAATTTGTGATGTCACACGTATACCAAATAGAGACACAAATTCTGCATGTGTCCTTTTGTATTTCCTGTTGAAATATTTTGCAGTGTTTCCTGAATAAAATCAGCTGACAGGAAGCAAACATGGACCCAAGCTGTTGCATCGCACTGTAACTCCAGTGAGACCTTCTTTAAAGATAGGAAAACGGAGCGTTTGAGACAGACGGTGATTGCAGGTGTATTCAGACACACTGTATGAGAATAATAATGTGTTTTTTGAACATTAACGCATGTACACGTGTTCAGGAAGAAACCAAAAACACAAGTATGAACCTAAATGTGAGATTAATGGGGGACCTTTAAGTTGGGGCAAATGTCAGAAGAGTGTACAAAATGTACAAAAGCCTGTTAAAGGGATCAATAGTGCCAAGTGATACAGATGCTTCTCATTATGTCAAGAGAGAAGGGGGGTCACCTGTGGCCTTGTGGTAATGACCAGCAACACAAGTGTAAACACAGAGGGGAACCTGACATGTTGCATGATGCTATTGTATACGGCTGCACCTCCACAGCATCCTCAGTGACACATGAAGGGCACCATTACAGTAAATCCCCTCAGTGAGGATGCAGCCTGCATTCCTGTCATGTCATGCGTTCCTCAGCAATGTACAGAGGTGGAGAGAAGGAGAGGAGAAGGGCTGTCGACATAAAATGCATCCCTTGCGCAGGACATTCCCCGAGAAAGCCACAGGGAGCAAGGAGAGGAGGGGGAGGAGGAGGAGGAGGAGGAGGTATGGAGACACTTGTACACCCCGACATGGACTGCGCTTACCTGTGGTGGCTACGTTTGCAGCATCAGACGACTGGCTGGGTAGATCATTCGAGTAAGTGCACTCCGAGCTCAGTACCGCATAGATGACGAGTCCACGTAGCAATACATTCAATACCTTGTGGATGTAACTCATGGTGGAAAAATGAGGCTGGAGGAGGGGTGCAAAAAAAAAAAAAAAAGCTTCGTATCCGTGGGGATGACTGGGGCAATCCCGAGATTAAAAAAAAAAAAAAAAAAAAAATCAGGTTGAGCCAAAAATAAATAAAAAAAAATACCAGTCTTTTTTTTTAAAAAAAAACAAAAAAACGTGAAGTTAAATAAAAACCCTACCAGCTAACGCATAAAAAATAAAAATAAAATACCTGCAAAATAATAGTTCATCGTGGGACAACTTTGAAATAAGAGCCCCTTCAAAAAAAGACTCTAATGGGTTTACTGTCTGTGTCAGAGGGGTGACTGCTGCTGCCAGCTACGACATGCCAGTCCCCCATGTCTGATTTATTTATTTAACAAATATATTTTAGCAGAAATAGAAATAAAATCCCGGACACAGAGGATGAGCAGAGCACATGCAGCCTCTGTGGAGGAACCCCCGCTCCAAAACAAACACAAAAATGGTAGTAGAGGTTTTTTGCGGTGCGTATCCGTGCGCTGAAATAATAAAAATATAGTGCTGTGTTAAATCCTTACGTGGGCCTGTGAGTTGGAGGCAAACAGTCTCTGTACTTCCACGTACAGTACACAAACACCGGGGACAGCTTCAGCATATTGAACTCGCAGTGTCTCATAGGTCCGCCTCTTCACGCCGAAGTAGCAAATCCCATCGCATCAAAAAACCCACTCGCGTCCCCGTCCTCCGTGTCGCCCGATCCGTCCCCGACCTACATCGACCGCACACGACATCCGCCTACTTCCCAAATGAAGTTTTTAAGTCAGCTTCTCGCGGCGCGGTGTGATACTGTGTCCTGCTGTCATATCAGCTGCTCGCCGGCCGATGCAGACGGAGGGGAGGGAGAGCCGAGCGGGGCGGAAGTCGGTATGCAAAACGGTTTGACAACAGGAGGAGGAGGAGGAGAGGAGGAGGAAGAGAGGGGGTTTAATTTGGCCACGACTGCTGCTGCTGCTGGAGGTGGAGGTGCGCGAGACACAAGCGGAGGGATTTGTTTTTGTTTTTAACGGGGAATTCAGCCGGGTGTCACTCCCACGCTCTACACGGTTTCACGCCGTGATAGTGGGCAGGGAAGCTCACGGCTCACCCGGTGTTGTTAGCTACCCTCACAGACAGTCTGTAACCGGAGGAAACCTCCGCTAAAAGTTTTTAATTCAGCCACAGTGACACGGAGGATGGTACCCGCTCCTACCCGCTGCATTGTTCTACACTTTTCCGGGGACATGCAAGTTTCTCTGCCGGCTGAGCGCTCTGATTGGCTGCAGTGTCCCAACATGGCAGAAGCTGATTGGCTGATTCGGGCAGCACTTTTTTTTGTTGCTTTTAAAGATGCTCAGCGCGGGAACATAAACTTCATGTAGAAAATAATGTGTTGTTTGGATTCATATGAGAGCAATCTTTTTATTACTTTACTTATTATTTTATTTTATTTAAAAATAGCAAGAGCCATTGTTAACAGAGCTTTATGTATGTATGTATGTATATACACACACACACATATATGTGTGTGTGTGTGTGTGTGTGTGTGTGTGTGTGGGCCTATGTATACACGCACACACACACACACACACA